CAGGTGAAGCGGTCGAGCAAGCCCGCAAGGACATCATGCAATATATATAAGGGTTTGGGCGGCAACATGGGCGATTGCCATCGACCTCGACGAGACCAAGAACGCTGACAACTGAAAGTCATGGTGCGCACCATATATGGATCAATTCCTGCACCAACCACAACAGGCAGCACACCCCAGGCTGCTGCGGGGCCGCTACCAGACCGTTACCCTCGGCAATATTACGAGGGATATGCGCGACGCGCAGTGGAGAGCCGCCAAGACGCAAAGGAAGGCAGCCTACGATTACTACGCCACGCTCACAGGATGGGAGAAAGAGGCATACGCGGCGCATCGGCGGGAATGCACTGGGGACATAAAAGCGCCAGTTCGACAATTACGCCAAGACCGAGCTCCAAACTTCGAGGACAAACACCCAAACTACTACGACGACAGCGACGAGGTCCAGCACAAACGAACGCGACGCGCAGCAGACATTGTGGCCATCCCCGAGACAGACCACATCGGGTTCTTCGGCGCCGTGGACGGCGAGCGTAGCGAACCAGCAGCTGAGCGCGCAGATATTTTCTGGGCCTCAGCCCTCATCAAAAGGCCCGATCATTATCTACGCGGACTGGCAGCAGGTCATGAACGGATGGTTCCAACAGTTTTACTTACGACCCCAAGGGCCTTTGCGAGGATGGTGGCAACGGACCGGACAGATGGCGCTGAAGCGCCCTGGAGGAGCCCATCAAGTACAAGCGGTCAAGTGCTATTCGCACCTCGACCAAGAACCAATGGAGCAAACAGGCCAATTCCTCGAGGCCAGCTTGGGCAATGAAGTGGCAGACACTTTGGCGCAACGTGCGGCGGAGTTGGCTATGGCAGACATACGCGACGACGCCAAGCAGCCGATGGAGACCGAGACCTTGCCCATGCGCGCGCAACGCAGAGCTGCCGCCATCGCCCGCGACACCCGCAAGGGCGCCGACCCCACCAAGCTTGAAAGACCGAGGAAAGTTCCAAGCAAGGTAGCACGCGAAAGGCGCCACCGAATCGAACAAGAGCCAGGACACAGCATGAAGAAGAAAGGACAGTGGGTCTGCCAAGAATGCTGGCTGTCACCTGGCAAGTACAGCGTCGTAGACTGGATGAAGGTTTCGGCATGCACGGGGTGACTTAACGCCTTAACGCCACCCATCGGGCCGACCATGGACATGCAGCGCCCGTGCCGAACAACGAAATGGTTGAGACAAAGGGCAAGGTCATCCACATGAGCCATAAGAATGCAGTCGCCCATGGGCATTGTTGGTGTTGGAACTGTGCAATGGTGGCTTCACATAATGATGGAGGACACGGTCGGGTGAACCTGCTGACGAAGTAGTGCAGGAACAAGATCGCCCCAAGTGGAGAGACGGTGCTACGACGACTACGCCAAAGGTTGCCACCAAAGGCGGGCCAGAACTGGCCAGATGGAACGGCACCGCCAAACTGTTGCAAAATACTACGTGTCGCAGCAGGGAAGCGTCATCCTCACCACCATCATCAGCATCATCATCATCGCCACCATCGCCACCATTAACATCATCATCGCATCATCCGTTCGGTACTCAACATATTTATCCCCGCCGTCCGCACCATGTTCCCCAGTCCTGGTCATCAGCATCATCCTCACAAACATCAGCATCGTCATCACCATCACCGGCATCATCCGAATCGCTCGCGTCGGCATCATGATCATCATCACCATCATCCTCAGCAGCACCCGCATCATCATCAGCCGCATCATCGTATCAGCATCGTCAACATCAGAACCATCAGATGCAGCACGATTGTCACCATCGGCGTCGTCATCAGAATCATCATCTACAGCAGCATCAGCATAAACATCAGGATGAGCAGCCTCGTCAGCATCAGCATCAGCAGCATCGTCAGCAGAATCATCATCATCACCATCATCATCGTCGTCACCACCACCATCATCATCGCCCGTCCGCATCACTATTCCGCCCTCCTCGTCGTATTCGTTATCGTGCTCCTCGTCATCTTCATCTTCCTCCGCATCCTCCTCATCCTCCTCTGCCCACCTCTCTCATCCATGCTCCTTCTCGTCCTCGTCATCCTTCTCATATCCGCATCGTCCTCTTCCCCCTCCTCCTCGGGTCGGTGTGTCTGGAATTCCTCACCCCCCCCCATTTCGGGCGTGTGTGCCGCCGTCGCGCCCGACTGACCATCTCCGCAGTCTTTGCCGCCATGTCCCGACCTTCCATGGGTGTTATTGCGCATCTTCTCTGCATATATGTTAGCTGCGCCAAATTGAAAGCCAGGGTAACCCGGATAACCCCCTGATGGTGGCATGCTTGGGGTGGGTTCGGGACCGATCGTCCATTCTTGATCCGCCCTTTCTCCGTCTCGCCTCCGTGTATCCTCCGTTTCTCGTGGCGGTCATGATGTATGGTTGTTCTCTCGCGCTCTCTCTCTCTCTCTCTCTATCTCTGTTTCTCGCCCCCGCCTCCGGAGGTTTGGTCCCCTGCTGCCTCGGGGCCTGGTTCCCTCGCAGAGGGTAGGGGATTGTGGAAAGGTTGGCTGGTGCACTCCAGCATCGATGTGTTCTTCTTGCACGCGTAAAAGACGGAGCGCACTGACTCGCACTCTTTCGGAGCCTTGCAATGTTCCAACATGGGGGTTCAGTCCCGTGCGCCAGTGCTCTTACAGTCAACGCGCCTAGTAAGGACACGCGCCCTCATCTAGGGCACCCTTGTGCCATTGCCTCTGCGGCCCGTTCTTTGCCGTTTCCACTGGTCGCCCCCCGCACAAACAAATCCAAAGTTCGGTTTCCAAGGGTCTTGCGTCCGTACCACGGGGCGCTTCCAAAATATGTCTCCCGCCTTAGCTCCGCGCACATTCGTCTTCAAAAGTTTTCTGAGTTTCACGGGTCGGGTCGTTTTCAAAATGTGGTTCTCGCTTCAGCGCCGCGCACGGTGGTTGTCAAAGGCTGCCAGAGTTTCACGGATTGCGCGAGGTGGTTTTCAACACGTGGTGTTCGCTTTGTGCCGCGCACACCCGTGCTAAAACATAGCATGATATTCACGGATTGAGGGCGGGTGAGTTTCAACATGTGGTTATCGTCTTAGCGCCGCGCACATTCGTCTTAAACATGTGAATGAGCTTTCACGGCGCACTTCCCTCATTGGAAAGTATTGTTGCAGGGACCAATGAGGAGAGAGCTTGGAAGGAGGGTGTAATACAATGTCGCTGATGAGCCCTGAACTGGCACTGATCATCCTCCTCCTCCTCCTCCACCTCCTCCTTCTCATCCTCCTCCTCTTCCTCCTCCTCTTCCTCCTCCGCCTCCTCCTCTTCCCTTTACTCCTCCTCTTCCTCCTCCTCCTCACCATCCTCATCATCATCCTCATCATCATCATCATCATCATCATCATCATCATCATCCTTCTCCTCCTCCTCCTCCTCATCATCATCATCATCATCATCCTTCTCCTCCTCCTCCTGCTCTTCCTCCTCCTGCTCCTCCTTCTCCTCCTCCTCCTCCTCCTTCTCCTCCTGCTCCTCTTCCTCATCCTCCTTCTCCTCCTCCTCCTCCTCCTCCTCCGTGATCATCATCATCATTATCAGCAGCAGCAGCATCGTCATCCCCGTTTCTCTCCTCCTCCTCCTCCCCCTCCCTCCTCCTCCTCCTCCCCCTCCTGCTCCGCCTCCCCCTCCTCCTCCTTTTCCTCCTCCTCCTCCTCCTGCTTCTCTTCCCTCTCCTTCTCCTTCTCCTTCTCCTCGTCCTCCTCTTGCTCCTCCTACTCCTCCTCCTCCTCCTCCTCTTCCTCCTCCTCCTCATCATCATCAGCATCATCATCATCATCATCAGCAGCATCATCAGCATCATAATCATCACCATCATCATCAGCAGCAGCATCATCATCCCGTTTCTCCTCCTTCTCCTTCTCCTCCTCCTGCTCCTCCTTCTTCTCCTCCTCCTCCTCCTTCTCCTCCTGCTCATCCCACCCTCCCTCCAATGCTCCCTCCTCCCTCCCTCCGCTCTACCTCTCCTCTTCCACCTGCTCCCCTCGCCCTCCTCACTCCTCCGCTCCCCCGCTTTCTTCCATGCTCCATCTGCCCTATCGCGCCCTCGGGCTCCGCGCGTCGGCACGCGCAGCGGCTTGTCCGACGTGCTGATCGCCGCGCCTCCCCTCCTCCCACTCCGTCTCCACCCCTCCTCAGCCCTCATCCTCCCTATCCTGCCTTCCCCTCCCCTACCCCCGTCCCGTCCCACGCCTTCCCCTTCCCTTTTCCCTGACATCGAACCCATTCTCCCAGGCCAGGCGCCCTCTCCGCCCCTGGAGGTTCGCGGCCCCCGGAAGCCCACCGAGGTCCCCCGAGGCTCCCGGAGGCCTCTGGAGGTCCTGAAAGGGCCAGAGCGTCCAAACCCCTCGGACCTCGACGACGGCGACGACGACGACGACGACGACGACGACGACGACGACGACGACGACGACGACGACGGCGGCGGCGGCGGCGGCGGCGACTCGGCCAGCGTGCGGAGACAGTAGCTTAGTTGCCCGCCGCCCGCCCACGGGGTTGGCGTCCCTTCGCCTCCACGCCCGCCTCCACCGTGGACCGCTGTGTTTCGCGCCGCGATCCAGGGTGGATGGGGAGGAGGGAAGGGGGGAGGAGGACGGGTGAGAGAGCGGAGAGGAGGAGGAGGAGGAGGAGGAGGAGGAGGAGGAGGAGAAGGAGGGTGGGGTCGGGTCGGGTGGCGGACGGGCTCCTGAGTCCGCCTGATCAGGCGCGCCAGCTACCCCACAGCGAGCCATCCTGTCGGATGCCCGCTCTCTGAAAACACGGACCGTCGGGCAACAGGGAGGCGTCACGGCTCTACCCCTCGGCCCCCACAGGCCTCGGGGTAGAACCCACGACAAACGAGCCGCGCCCAACCGTGGCGACGCAAAGACCCGCGGCCCAAAAAGAGCAGAAACGCCACAACGCCGGCCTCCGCTCAGCTCGCGACGTCTTCACTTCCGAGCCCAGGGGTACAGCTCGACAATGTCTCCTGCGAGGGTCGTCACAGCCTGGTCCAGGAAGTAGCTCTTTAAGTCGAGCGCCTTCGCCAGGTGACTCGCGAGTACTGTCTTGACGCGTGCGGTCGTCACCTCCAGCTGCTCGTCAAGGTTCTTGTTAAAGGGGGTCACCAGCACCGGCTGGAGCAAGGCACGGAGCTCAGCTTCGAACTCGTCGCCCGCCTGGCGCCCGCGTTGCTCGTTCACCACCTCCTCGAAGACCAGCTTCTTGTACTTCCTGTGGCGGCGGCCACGCTTGGTCCCGCCGCTGGGCCTCCCTCCCGTCGGAGTGGCGCCCAAAAACTGGGAACTGCTGCCCGTCGCGGGTGACGTTGCCTGGGCCTCGTTCGTCGTCGGCCCAGGCTCATCACCTCCGCTTCCAGCCTCCTCGCAGCCCACCTCGGAAAACTGAAGTTCTTCGTCTTGGCCCCTCTCCATGGGAACTCCGGCTCCTTCCTCCGAGATTGGGCCAAAATGGGCGCTCCCGAGCTCGGCCTGGTCGTCGATCGTGAGGTCGACGACGTCTCCTCCTCCTCCTCCTCCTCCTTCTCCTCCTCCTCCTCCTCCTCCTCCTCTTCCTCCTCCTTCTCCTCCTCCTCCTCCTCCTCCTGCCCCCAGGGCTGGGTTGAACATCCTGCTGAAAGCTTCAAAGACCAGCTCCAGGTTCCAGTCCGCCTCCAAACGGTCCGCCCACTTCGCCTGCTGGGGTTCCGCTGTCGCCAGGCTCAGCGGCGCTTCCATCCACCCGGCTTCCACAGCCAGCTGGAGCTCCCGCCCTGGTGGTTGGTCCAAGTCGTTCGGGTCGTTGGCCCAGCTGCCTTCCAGAGCGGGGGCGGGGCCTCCGCTTTCTTGGCCTCGTTCGCCTCGTCCCGCTCGGCTTTGCTCGGCCTCAGCAGGCCCGTGCGACGCCTCGCCGCTGCCTTCGTCGTACTCTCTCTGGCGATCATCGTGGCGAAGTCGCCCTTTCTTTCGGGGCCGGCTTGAGCGTCAGCCTGGGGGAGCGTCCGTCAGACCCAGATGCACCGCCCGCTGACGACGGCTCGCCCTCGTCCGAGGACGACGGCTGCCCGCTGGGGCTTTCCTCGGAGCCCTCATCGGTGGTCGGCGACCTCCGCGGGTCCCGCCGCCGAGGGGCCTCCTGGCACCTCAGGCGCTTGTCCCGCGCCTCCTCGACTACAGGAGGAGGAGGAGGAGAAAAGGAATGATGATGATGCTGATGATGATGATGATGATGATGAGGAGGAGGAGGAAAGGGAGGAGGAGGAGGAGGAGGAGGAGAATTGCGGCAGCGTCTGAAGATACCAATGTCTGTAGAAACCAGGAACCAGGAACCAAGAGGAGGAGGACGGGGAGGACGAGGAGGACGAGGAGAGTCAGGAGGAGGAGGAGGACCCAGACATTTTCCAGCATGATTTACGCAATCCGCGGCCCCAGAGCTCCCGACCCCTTCCCCAGAGGTAGTTTCTCGTCCCAGATCCTTTTTTGATCGTCCAGGGCCCCGAAAATGGGCCCCAGAGGCCGAAATCTAGGAAAACGCCCGGTTTGAAATTATCCTGGCGAAGGACCCAACCATATGCAGTTGTGAGTACCGCGTTTGGGGCACAGCTTTCAGTGGAGCTCTCTATGGGGCCACGAAACATGTGAGGAGTGTACCCGAAATGGGTGGGGGAGACCCAAGTGGGCGGGCGACCGCATGTGGATCCTGCAACTAGGGCTTTCGGAGGAGCTCCCTATGGGGCCACGAAACGTGTGAGGGGTGCGCCGAAATGGGCGGAAAACTGCGGCCTTCGGAGGAGCTCCCCAACGTGTGAGGGGTGTGCCGGGATGGGGCCGGGAACCGCATGTGGACCCTGACATTGGGGCTTTCGGAAGAGCTCCTTACAAGGGGCCATGAAACTTGTGAGGGGTGTGCCGAAGTGGGCGGGTGACCGCATGTCGACCCTAACACTAGGACCTTCGGTGGAGCTCCCCATGCTGCCACGAAACGTGCGAGAGATGCGCCGACATGGGGCGGGGAACCGCATGTGAACCCTGCCTCCGGGCCTTCGGAAGGGCTCCCTCCCTATGGGGCACGAAGCGTTTGAGGGGTGTGCCGAAATGGGCGTTGAACCGCATGTGGACCCTGCCACTAAGGCCTTCGGTGGAGCTCCCCATGGGGCCACGAAACGTGTGAGTGGTGCGCCGAAATATGGGCGGGGAACCGCATGTGGACCCTGCCAACGGGGTCTTCGGAAGAGCTCCCTATGGGGCCACGAAACGCGTTAGGGGTCTGCCCACATGGGCGAGGAACCGCATGTTGATCCTGCCACTGGGGCCTTCGGAGAAGCTCCCTATGGTGCCACGAATCGTGTGTGAGGGGTATGTCGAAAATGGGTGGGGAACCGCATGGGCACCCTGTCATTTGGGCCTTCGGTGGAGCTCCTTATAGGGTCACGAAACGTGTCAGGGTTGTGCTGAATTGGGCGCGGAACCGCATGTCGACCCTGCCACTGGTGCCTGCGGAGGAGCTCCCTATGGGGTCACGAAACGTGCGAGCGGTGTGCCGAAGTAGGGCGGGGAACCGTATGTGGACCCTGCCACTGGGGCCTGCGGAGGAGCTCCCTCTGGTCCACGGAACGTGTGAGGGGTGTGCCGAAATGGGGGGGGTGACCGCATTTGGACCATCCTGCAACTAGGGTCTTCGGAGGAGCTCCCTATGGGGCCAAGAAACGTGTGAGGGGTATGCCGACATGTAACTGGCGCGTGTGATGGGAGGAGGGAGGGAAGGAATGGAGGGAGAGAGGAGGAGGAAGGACGCGAGGCGTTGTCTCTTCAAAGTGAGGCCCCAACATCACAGGATGGTTGGGAAAAAGATATCGCCAGAGAGCTGGGGAGGAGGAGGAGGAGGAGCAGGAGGAGGGACGGGGAGGATGGACGGGGAGGATGGGGGTGGGTGCAGGGGGAGACTGCCTCGACGACGCCTGCAGGTCTAATACTCTATGTTCGCGAGGGCTTCCCAACTTTTCCGCACAATCTTCGCACCGCCTCTTCTGGCTTAGTCTGCCGAGGCGATCTTGCTTGTGGCTTGAACGCAACAGCTGTACAGCTTGTGTCCGAGCAAGCGAAAGTCGGCGACTACAATGGGTATGGTTACGCCAGGGTGTGGTTTGCGATCGGCGGCGTTGGAGCTCAGGGGTCCACCGCGCTGTGCCAAAGGTATGGCGAGCCCTCGTCGGGGCTCAGCGCAGAACTCTGTCGAGGTCCTCCCCCCCCATCCCCGGGTGGCCCAGGTGCGGATTGCAAGCCGCACCCTTTGCAAACCCCACCCTTCGGAGTCGCCGAGACGGGCGGAGGGGGAGGCGGAGCGCTTCGCCCTCCGCCCTCGGCCTCCGCCCTCTGCTTCCGCCCTCCGCCCTTCGGCCTCGCTGGGGCAGCCGCGCCGCGCGCCCGCGCGCGCACCAGCGAGGAGCCGGTCGCCCACGAGGCGGAGCCCGCCGCGGAGGCCGGGGCGAGCGCGGAGGCGGCGCCTGGCCGAGGGGAGCAGAGCAGGACTCGAGGGGCGGTCACCTCGAGGGCTTTGGGTAAGGATGCTGGAGATGCTGATGATGGTGATGGTGGTGATGATGACGATGACGATGTTGATGATGATGTTGATGATGACGATGATGATGATGATGATGGTGATGATGATGATGATGCTGATGATGATAATGATGATGATGAGAATGATGATGATGATGCTGATGATGATGATGCTGATGATGGTGATGGTGATGGTGATGGTGATGGTGATGATGATGCTGCTGATAATGGTGATGGTGCTGATAATGGTGATGGTGATGGTGATGGTGATGGTGATGGTGATGGTGATGGTGATGGTGATGGTGATGGTGATGGTGATGGCGATCGCGGTGGTGATAACAGGGTTCGGTTGGGGCTTCGAGGGTTCAGGCTTCCTTTCTCGCTGCCTATGGTTTCTTCCATCGCTCCCCTTGTGCTTCTTTCCTCGCTCCCCCTTGTCCTGCATCTTTGGGCCTTCGAACTCCCCGGGCACATTCGTGAAGGCGGCCGCCTTTGGTCACGCCACTTGTATGTTCAGCGAATGTTGGCCACCGATTCCTAGAGGCGAGCTGTTGGCAACGTGCTTGCAGTGAAAAATCCTCGAGGGGCGATCGCCGCGAGAGTTCGAGGCGAGGAGAAGTACCGATGCCGCTGCTCGTTCTGGAGAGCTCTCGTCGCCGCGGCTGGACTCTCCTTGAGGTGCTGGTCAGAGCGCAGCCCCGGGGGAGGTCCGGGGAGTAGCGGTCATGAGTTTCGGCTTGGCGTGTCGCTCTGCCGTTCTTGGCGCGAAACGCAATCCATGTCTCGGTCCCCGAACGTCAGCGTCCCGAGCTGTTCCCAGCCTCCCGCCCCGCGGAGCGGAGCGACGCGCTCTCCGCTGACAAGGCACGGCGTGCCGCCGGGGCCGCCGCCGCGACACGCGGAGCAAAGGCTCTTGGCCCTAGCGGCCCGGGGCCTCGGGCTCCGCAGCGCGCTGCCCCGCGATCGCCGCGGCGTGCTGCCCTGTCCCAGTCCGCCCCCACGGAGCACGTGCCGCCAGACGCAGGGAGAGCCACTGCCGCTACGCTGGGCCTCCTCGTCCCTCCGCGAGAGTTCGAGGCGCTTCCTGGACGGGGTTGTCGGCTCGAGGGCTCGAGGGGCGATCGGCGGGAGGGTGCGGGGCTCTTCCTCGGCCGCGGCCTCCTGGGAGCCCGCCTCAAGGCCCCTGGGACGTTGGAGAGCGGGCTCTACAGGAGGAACATTCAAAAATTGTCAAAATAGTCTGGGGACGACTTTTCTAGCATTTTTTCAGTATTTTGAGCATTGCTGGGGAATTTGTACCTTTCGTCCAAAATCCGCCTCTAGGGGAACATGCCCGATCTCAGACTAGCCAGGGTGGGCCCCAGGAGGGGTCTGGGGCACAAGAGTTTGAACGGATCTGGGTCGGGGCCCAGGGGTCGCTGGATCGAGAGGCCGTTGGAAGGGGCTTGTTCAAGCGGGACCGTGGGTCTCGACCCATCGTCGAAGTGGGTCGGGACCCAAATCGACGATGGCAGCTTGGCTCCAGCGCGAACCAGCCCATTCAACGGGATCGAGAAGCCGTTGAAATGGGCTGGTTCGCGCCTGAGCCAAGCTGCTATCGTCCCGGGCGCGTCAATCGTCGCGCAGGGGGGATGTCTTACAGATCGGCCGTCGGCAAAAAAAAGAATCCGCACTTCAGAGCCAGAATCGAAGGGCTTCTCGGCTCCCCCACATCGCCGTCAGAAGCTGATGGGGCCGACGAGGCCTGCGCATCACGCCCCCTCCTTAGTCGTTGCGGCCGCTTCCCATCCTTCCCCTCCCCCTCCGTTTCCTCGCTCCCCCCTCCGTGAGCTGACGCTGCTCGTGGACTGGCGCGGCGGCGGACGCTGGCCACGGCATGTTTGAGCATGACGCGCGCATGCCAGCTGCTGGTGGACCGCTTGCGGTGAAAAAAACCGCAGCCGTTGTGGCCCGATAGGGATCGGTCTCCTGGGTGCTGCCGCCGGCGTGTGCGGACGGCCAGCGGGAGGCTGGGGCGCCATGGCGGGCAAGGGAGCGAACCTGCACAGTGTCATGGTCAAGAATGTCTCCACGACGCCCGAGACATTCTTCGACGTCAAGCACAAGCTCCAGGACGTGTTCAGCAAGTTCGGCGAGATCGGGGACGTGCACCTGCCGAAGGACCGCAACTTCGCCTTCGTACGCTTTCAGCGCCTCCAGGATGCCGAGGACGCCATGAAAGAAATGGACGGCAAGGACTTCGAGGGGGACGAGCTGAGGTTCGAAGAAGACAGCACGGCAAAATCAAGCATAAACGTTCGGAGTCCCGCGTGGGTTTCTTGGATCGGTGTTGGACCATTGGTGTGCGAAGCGCCAGGGGCGGCGCCGCCAGGGGGTCCAGCGCCGATCCAAGAGATCCGCGCGGACTTCCGAACGCTTCTGCTTACACCGTGCTCCTTCTTCTCCTGCAGGTGCCAGATGGCGACGCAGCCGCCCAAGCCAGGGTACCCGCAGGGGGGCCGGTCGCGGTCAAGGTCGCGCTCCAGGCGCGAGCGCCGCCGCTCGCCCTCGCGCGAGCGCCGCCGCCGCCGTGGCGACTCCAGGGACCGGCGGCGCCGCGACTCGCGGAGCCGGCGGCGCAGGTGAGCCCTGCAGAGGGCCCCGCGGAGCGCCGCCGCGGGGCAGCGCGCTGGTGAGCGCCGAGCGGGCGGGCTCCAGGGCCGAGGCCTGTCGCCGTGCCTGCAGCGCGCGCCCAGGGGGGCAGCGGGGGTGGGGTGTTCCCGCGGGCAGGTTCGACATCTGACCCGGGCGGCCGCGCCAGGCAGGGAGGAGGGCGGGGGAGGAAGGGAGGGAGCACCGCAGGGAGCCAGGGAGGGGGGGATGAGGGCGAGGGAGGGCGGGGGGCGAGGCAGGGGCAGGAGGGGGGGAGGAGGGGGGAGGGGGCGGGAGGCCAGGCAGAGCGGGGGGAGGGGGAGAGGGACGGGAAGCTACAGGCACGGACGCCGGGCGCGGCGGTGTTCAGCCCAACCTGCAACTTGGCCAGGTTTGCTCTCCTCCTCCTCCTCCTCCGCCTCCTCCTCCTCCTCCTCCTCCTCCTCCTCCTCCGCCTCCGCCTCCGCCTCCGCCTCACCACCACCACTTTCCCAATTGCCTTCCCCCTCTCTCGCGCACACACACACACACACGCACGCACACACACACACACACACACAGACACACACCCTTCCCTCCTCCTGAACCGCAGCTTGGCCATATCGTTTGTACCACGGCCAGCCGGCCCACGTAGCCTGGCCAGCTTTGCTCTCTCCCGCGGGGGCCGGGGCGGCAGCTCGCGGCGGGGCGGCGCTGGCAAGATCTTGTAAGAAACGGTGGCTATGGCAGAGCCTCGGCAGGTGCAGGTGCAGCAGCAGCAGCAGCAGCAGCAGCAGGAGCAGGAGCATGCGGAGAGTGGCAGCGTGGCATGTCGCGGAGCATACGGAGAGTGGCAGCAGGAGCAGGAGCATTCGGACGGGGCTAGGACGAGGGTCAATCCGTTCCAAAGCGTTCCTGGATGCTCTCAAAGCGTTCCGGAACGCTCTGAGAAGGCCGCGGCGCCCGATACATCCTCCAGAGCCGCCAGATCCCAGAGATTCTCGATTTATCCGCATCCGGAGTGATCCTCGTTCTGGCATCGTCTTAAACATGCGAGCACTCTTGCGTGGCGTGTTGCTCCGCTGGCTCTGGCCAACCACGTTTCGGCACGACACGCTAGCCACGTCCCAGTCCCCGAGCTCAAGGCCTTCCACCAGGCCTCGCGTCTCGCGGAGCGGAGCGACACGCTATCCGCTTGCAGAGCACATCGTGTCGCTGGGGCAGCCGTTGCGACACGCTAAGCAAAAGTTTCCCTCCGTAGGCATCTCGAGGGAAATTGCGGTTCAGGCCAAGATCAGAAAGAGCGTGTTCGACCGCTGCTGGCGGAAAACCGAGGGGGATCACTACCCGTTCGAACCCCTCCCCCCCCCCTCCGGAAAACCGGGGGGGGTCACTACCGGTTCGAACCCCCCCACCCCCCCCCCCCCCCCCCCCCCCTCCCCAGTTCATCATGAAAAGGGGGGGGTCACTACCGGTTCGAACCCCCCCCCCCCTCGAACTCGAAAACCGGGGGGGGGTCACTACCGGTTCGAACCCCCCCCCCCCCTCGAAAACCGAGGGGGGGTGCGGACAGTGGTGGGGACGGTGGTGGTGGGGACAGTGGTGAGGGGACAGCGGGACAGTGGTGGGGACAGTGGGACAGTGGTGGGGACGGTAGTGGTGGGGACAATGGTGAGGACAATGGTGGGAACAGTGGGGACAGTGGGACAGTGGTGGGTACGGTGGTGGTGGGGACAGTGGTGTGGGGACAGTGGGAATGCGGTGGAAACAGTAGGACAGTGGAGGGTACAGTGGTGGTGGGGACAGTGGTGAAGGCGGTGGCGAGGACGGCGGTGGGACAATGGGACAGAGGCACAGTGGGGACAGTGGCGGGGACAGTGAGGACAGTGGCGGGAACAGTGGGACAGTTCAGTGGGACAGCGGAGGAGTCAGTGGGACAGTGGGGACAGTGGGGATAGTCGGGCAGTGGTTGGGGCCTTGGAGAAAGCTGGGAGAGTGGAACCGTGGTGGGAACAGTGGTGGGGACAGTGGGGACAGTGCGACAGTGGTGGTGGCACTGGTGGGGACAGTAAGGGCAGTGGTGGAACCAGTGGGGACAGTGGTGGTGAGGACAGCGGTGCTGGGAACAACAGTGGGGGATGTGGTGAGGACGGTGGTAGGGACGGGGAGTCGTTTGCTGGCGGTGAGAGGGGGGGGTGGGGAGGGGGTTCGAACTGGTAGTGACCCCCCTCCGGTTTTCGAGGGGGGGGGGGTCGAACCCGTAGTGACCCCCCCCGGTTTTCGAGTTCGAGGGGGGGGGGGAGGGGTTAACTTAGGTGGGGGGGGGGGGGCGGGGGGGGGGGGGGGTCAGCAGAGGTGGGGGGGATTTTCGGAGGGGGAGGTGGGGGAACCCCGGGTTCCGGAGGAAAAGGGCGGCAATTTTCCACAGTAAAGCGGCGGTGGATCACGCTCTTTTCAAGATCAGGAACGACAGATGGACGTACACGCACATGAATCCGCATTGGTTTGGAATGTACGCATTGCGCGAACGTTCGTATCACGAGGCTGGTCTCGCGGACTGGGGGCCGTATTCATGCACGTGGTCTGCCCACACACGCAACATCGGGCTCTGACTGCGATGCAGCAAGCAGGAAACAGCCCCACGGCGCTTCGAGTCCCAAGAGGGGGCATCCTTCAATCGATGTTCCTGGGAACTCACGTTGCTAGGATTTCGTGGCCCAGAAAGCAGGTTGCAACGCAGAGCTTGGAGAACATTGCTGGAACTGGCAGAGCCATCCACATTTTCTTGAGCGTTTGAATGCGATACTTGGAACGGCTAATTCCTGGCACGATCGTTTTTCGGAACTATCCGATAACGCGTCAGGCCTCCTCGAGCAGCATTTCACCTCGGCGTCCACCCCTTCCTCCCCCTCGATTACCTTCTTTGTCGGAGCATGAGGGGGACTCCGGTCTAAATCCCCCGAGTCCACCGCCACTGGCGATAGGTTGGCGCAGACGATGTGCTATGGGAGGGACAGGATGAGGACGACTTACAGCTAGCAGCAGGGATACCTGATAACGCCAGGACTCATGCGCGATTGCTCTGCGGGTTACGACCTGGTAGCCTTATGCGTTCAAGGCAAGGCTAGTACGCTATCTACCCTCTTGCCCACAGGATTGCAGTATGAACTGGCGGCGTCCGCAGCTGCCTCTGGGCAGCAAGCTGATACCGACGCGCACCTATGACCTTAGCCATGGCAGCCGCCTTTGCCGTTGTTCGTTCGCGCGTCGTTCCATGCCTTTGCCCGTATTCGCCAGACGCTCGGCTGTTAGTGCGTCGACCGCGCTCTCGGCTGGGCGCTCGGCCGCCGCCACGCTCCCAGCCTTCTGGCCGTCGTCGTCGTCGGACTCTCCTGCGCTAGACCTCGGATCATGAGCCGATACCGAGCATAGCAGCCCTGCACTCTGCCGTGCGCTCCTGTACCCGAGCGCGCCACCTTCGCTCTGAAGGTTCAACCTTGGCCTTCTGCTGCGCATCGGTCCAGTGCAGCTGCTCGCGCTCGCGCTGGCTGCCGTCGAGCTCCTCACGCAAGGCCCTGGTCCCGGTCTGCTCCGCGTGTTGTTACCGCTTGGCCTCGGCAAGGGTAGCGTGGGCTCCGTGCAGAACCGCCGCGTGCAGTTGCGCGCTCTCCCATGCGCACCACGCCAGTCTGCTTCATAATCGCTGCTGCTCGACCGCGGCCAGCGCGGCCTCTCAGCAGCCTCACTGCACCCGCCCCAGCGCAGCCACCTGGGCCCGCAAGCTGCGCCTCAACGGCGCCGCCCATCATCCGGGCAAACCGTTTCAGTCTGCTCTTCAGCCCTCGAGCCTGCCGCGCCTGGCGGTCTCGGCCGCCCGCTCGCCGGGCTGCCCCCGTTTGGCCTCTGGGCCGCCCTCTCGCCGGCAGGACTGTGCTGCGTCGCAGGTCAGAGCAGTGTACTCGTTCGAGGTGTCGCCAAGCTCGGCCTGAAAAGTATCGACGGGCTGCACCGCCCGAGCAGCCCTGGTGGAGGCGGAGGGCGCGTCAGCATCCACGTCCTCCCCCCCCTCCCTCTCGGCAGCAGCCCCGCGCGCAGCGCGAGCCGAGCGCCCGCTGCGCTGTCGCTTCGTGCGCACCTGCCGGGGCTCCAGGTCCGAGAGCCGCGCGTCAGGGCCGTGCCACCAGGCAGCGCTCTCCGCTGGCAGCCATCCGAGCTTCGAGGTCACTCTCCATCGCCAGAACCCTCGCCCCCCTATCTGGACTTGAGCGGCGGTTGTCTCTATGAGCTGGCCCTGGGGCGCGGTGCCTGTGCGCACGGCGCCCAGGATTGCCAGTCTGCTCACCGGGTCACAAGGACCATGACGTCCTCGCTATGCTTCTTAACAGCCTGCACCCAAGTGGGGGCACAGGGTTAGAGGTACAGCGGATAGCCATCGCGCAGGGCGTGCGACAGTAGGAGGAGGAAGAGGAAGAGGAGGAGGAGGTGGGGGAAGTGGGGGAGGCGGAAGAAGAGGAGGAGGAGGAAGAGGAGCCTCGGAGGAGGAAAAAGAGGAACCGAAAGGCATGGCGGCCCGCGCGGCTCGCTTGGACCAAAGTGACTTCGGGCTCCTGGCACCCTCGCCCCTCCCGCCCCTCCTCACCCCTCCCTGCTCCCTCCTCCTAGCTGCCCCTCCTCATCGTCTGCCGCGTTCCACGGCCCGCATCCCCCATCCATGCCCTCGTCCTCCACATCATCATGCCGCCTGCCCCTCATACTCTCCTCCCCCCCGGCTGGAGGAGGCTCACGAGGAGGAGGTAGAGAGAGAGGAGGAGGAGGAGAACAGCTACGCGCCACGAGCAGGAGGAAGAGGAGGAGAAAGAGGAAGGCGAGCAGGAGGAGAAGGAGAAGCAGGACGAGGAGGGGGACGTGGAAGGGGAGCGGGAGCAGAAGGGGGAGGGGGAGGGGGAGGGGGAGAACGAGGAGGAGGAGGAAGAGGAAGAGGAGGCGGAGGAGGAGGAGGAGGAGGAGGAGGAGGAGGGAGTGAGAAGAAGGCAGGAAGGAGGGAGGAGGAGGGAGGAGGGAGGAGGAGGAGGAGGACTTCCCCACTCCGTTTCCTCCCCTTTGGCAATTGGTAAGTTGTGTTCCCGCCACGGCCCCTGACGCCCCTGGAGGCCACCAGAGGCCTGACAAGGGCAGACGACAGAAAACCGCCCCCCTTTATGAGGGCGGGGGATTCTGGGGTGGCGGTCTGGGGCCCGTGCCTCGGCAAACTGTTGCACTCTCGCTTCGGCGCCGCGCATTTCTGTCAAACATGACTTTCTCGCTTCGGCGCCGAGCACATCTTCGGCAGCATCCTGCTAGCGATTGGAGCCTCGTTGGGACTGCGGAGGTCGGCAGGGCCTGCGCGCGGCGTCCACCGTGCCCGTCAGGGTCGGCAGGGTGTGCGCGCGGCGTCCGCCGTCTCCAAGGACTTCTTAATACAGATTCCTTAGCCCCGATTATTTCAGAAGGATTTCTTAGTAAGCATTCCTTTCTATGACCTCCGTAATCTACATATTCCTTCGTAAATGATTATGATTAAAGAACCTTCGAGCCACTATTCCTCTACATATATTCCTTAATAGCGAAGGTTCCTGAGCCATGCTTCATCAATCAAGATTTCATTGGCGAAGGCTTCCTGTAATGATTTCTCAATGAGAATTATGTAGCAAGGGTCCCTTAATGCAAACTCCATGTTACGGGTTCCGTCGTAAAGATTATTTCAGGCGGATTCCTTCGCG